TCACATTTTCATGGGTTTGTTTTGTTCCTTCTGTATACTGAGTAATGTCAGATTGTCCTGTATATTGTGACTAGATTCAGTTATATTCCTTTGAAGAGTGGTTGGTTGGCTGTCTGGTTGGTTGGTTGGTTAGTTGGTTAGTTGATTTGGGCAGGTACTTACTTAACTTGGCTGGTCTCAAATTGCAAACTCTCTCCATGCTGTGGGCAGCCTCACGTTTTAATTCATCTCTCTTAGCCTTAGCTCAGCTTCTTGGAATCTGCCTCACGTGTGGCTCCGAGGTCAGCTAGAGATTTGGGCAGAATTTATACTCAGAGTTTGAGGAACCCTCTGCCTGGCTGTCTTCCTCCTGGGATTCCCCCCTCACTTTTCGCCACCTGTGGTGACTCAAACTCAGTCATCTCGTTCTTCAAACCAGTAAGATTGGGGCCTGCTTCTGGCTGGCGGCCATTGCCATGTGGGCCCCACCCTGTGCCATTGCCTTCCTCTCGTGTCAGCTCCCAGACTCCGGCTCTCGGGTGGCTCTCCTGCTCCCACAGAGCCACTGCTTATATCCGTAGTCGCTGCCCGCAAGAGGGTGGTCTCCTAGCTGCTACTCAGACGTGGCAGAAATACAAAGAGGTCCCCACCAAAGAGTGAGATTTCAGTAGAAGTCACTTTTTTAATAACTTTGAGGTGGGTAATATCACAACCAAACAAAAGTGCATTATTTCCCACAGTTTTAGATACATAGTAAGTAAGAGAGAAAAGCAGTTCTGGTGTGTCCGTGGCACTAGATGCCTAGTCTGCCGTGCCCGTGCGTGAGAGAAGAGCAGAGGCGTCCGCTGTCACTGGTGGGCATTTCCCATGAGGCCGGCCAGCCGCAGGCATGCCAGCCTGCTTCAGCTCCATCCCCAGCCCCGCTGCCTGTAAGGGCCCAGGGCTGCACTGCTACGAAAGGTCGGTCTCGTTCCTCTGCGCTGAGGCAATGCTGCTGATGGCGAGAGATCATGTTTCACGATGACATTCCCATGGACTCGCCAAAACAAGCCTTTCCCTCTTGGCTTTTTTCCTTCCAATTTCTTGCTGCTATTTCTCTGGATATTTTTCAGATTAGCCTAAGTTGCTTTGAATCCAGCCTGATTTTTATGTCCAAAGCAAATGTTGTGATGTCACCATAAAATTATGTTGAAGTGATCAAAGTCCTCTTTACCAAAAAAGTTATTCACGCAAATTATATTTTTAAAAAGCAATTTTTTTTAGTTTCAAAGGAAAGAACAGTAGAGTAGTTACTCACAGGAAAAATGCTGCAGAAATGAAGCAGCTAGAAACTCATGTTTCCTAGTAGTCTGTGAGCAGGTAGGAAGACAGAACGAACTTGCGTTCACCTACGCGTTTTACTGCTTCCTCCGTGCTTCATCTCTCCTTCTGAGTCATGGAGAGGCAGACCGTGTTCTCGTCTGCAAATGAGGAAACAAGCTGCAGCAGGCCGGGCTGGGTGTGGTCACAAACCTCAGCAGGAGGCCACTCCTGCTGCCCTGTCCGGGCCAGCTCCCACCCACACAGCGGATGGCCCGCCACTGGACCCTTCTGTGCAGGAGGTTCGCTTTCGTGTCCTAGCTCAGAGCTGGCAACGAGGAACCGATGAGACCACTTCCTTGCTCTCCACGAACATGCCTTAGAGGTGAAATCATGTTCTGTTGCTCCAGGAGGGAATGAGCAGGATCTCCCATGCTAGCTGGCCGAGGCTGGGAGACCAGGCTCCACGGGAGCTGCGGGCCCTGAGAAACCACCAGAGTGGCCCTGAGGACTCCGCGTGTCCTGCTCTGAACCCATGTCTGCAAGGACTTCTGTCGAAGCTGGGGTGCGTAGTGCACTCACTCTCCTCCTCGTGACTCTCCCTCGACAGGACTCATGGGTAAACGGGGACAGTCACGTGTTCTCACGTGTATTAGACGAAATCTTAGCTTCTGTTTCATCTCCTTGCACGCTGCGACTGAGAAACCGCCATCCGAGGAGAAGACGCGGGCTCGTTGCCAGCTCACGTTGGGCGGCTCAGAGCTTCCAGTGGAATTCTTCGCTACTAAAAATACTGTAGTTTGGGAAAATATGTTTCAGTCTGACCTCCTTGACACTGCACATTCTGCTGATCACTCGGGCTCGCCAGCAGTCACACAGAGAAGCTCGGGGTCTCCACGTGCGTCCTTGCTGCACCGACGGGACTGTCTGCTGTGAAACAGACTCTCATGTTATATTCCTGACCACCCCGAGCAGCAGGCTGCGGCTCCCACAAGTGTCTTGCTGTGTTACTTTTGGTATGAGAACGAAGTGCTGGGATTGAAGGAGCTGTCTCCCTGGTTACCACTGTGTTCTTCAGGGATAAGACTGGCCTGCCCAGTGGAGGAAACATTGAAGTGACTGTCACACAGATGCCACACAGCTCATGAGAGCAGCGGGGCCGACCGTGACAGTGCGAAGCCCACTGTCCAAAGCCAGAGGGCTGAGCAGGAGTGTGGATGGCGGTGGTGACGAAGCGCTGACAGGCAGGGTTCAGGCAGAGGGTTCGGGAGCTGGAGAACAGGGCAGAGCCGCTGGTGGGAGACCGTGCGTCTGGCGCGGGAGAGGGTCTACGGCCTGGGGCCTCACATGACCTGCCTGGAGATTTTTGTGGGGCACAGTGACCTTGAGATCAGGGTGGCCCATTTCATAAAACAACCCACTTGCGATAAACTGCACCAATGGGACTTATTTAAAATGGAGTTTCTGCCTGGCTGGTGTGGCTCAGTGGTTGAGCGCCTACCCATGCACTGAGAGGTGGCTGGTTCAATTCCTGGTCAGGGCACATGCCCAGGTTGTGGGCCCGATCCCCAGTGCAGGGCATGCAGGAGGCGGCCAATCGATGTTTCTTTCTCTCCCTCTCCCTCTAAAATCAATTAAATAAATAAATAAAAGTAATTCAGTAAATAAAATAAAATGGAGGTCTCATTGCCTTAAAGAATATGTCACACGTGGTCTTGTCATAGCTTGCTTATATTTTCATTATTTGAAGAAATTGTAAAAAAAAAGGACTTTTTTTTTTTCTTGATTTTTATAGACTCTTTAGTTGTTTTAAACTATAGTTCTGGGGAGTTCTGATTCAGGGTCCGTTACTTATTTTGAGGTTCAGGTGATTGAGGGAGGGCCCTGAGCACCCCTAACCAGGGCCGGCTCCTGCCCGGCCGTCTGGCAGGAGGGGCCTGCGGTCCCCCTGCGGTGAGGGCATGGGAGCTGGGCGAGGGCTCTGTGCCGTGCGGCCACGCTGGCTGCCGCTCGTGGCTTCACTCGGCAGCTCAGTGCCGTGGCGATGCAGCCTGGACCCAGGACCTGGTGATGCCGGCCCGTGAGCGCAGGTCCGCTGGAGTGAGAGGCAAACAAGCACATTCGAGAGCATCTCCCAGGGCTGCAGGCGCGGCCGGGCAGGTGCGCAGTGTGCTGGCGGGCGTGCACCTCGGAGCCTGGAGGCGACACTCCATTCTTCAGTTATCGGGTTTCGTGCTGTTGGCTGGCATGATTCTAGCTGGAACCAGAAGAAAACCAGAATTTTATTTTGAGGAGGGGGTGAATCTTTTCACTAAAACAGGAAACATTTCCTTTCCTTAAAACTCCCATCTGTAGTGCCCTGGCCAGTTTGGCTCAGCGGTTGGAGCGTCGGCCTGCGGTCCGGAGAGACCCGGGTTCGGTTCCCGCTAAGGGCACGTACCTCGGTTGCAGTTTGTCCCCGGCCCTGGTTGGTCGTGCGGGTGGCAGCCACTCGATGTGTCCCTTCACGTCGATGTTTCTCTCTCTCTCTCCCTCCCACTCTATCTGTACGAAAAATGGAGGAATGTCCTCGGGTGAGGATAAAAAAAAAAAGAACCTCCCATCTGTAGTGATGGTTTGCTGACGCGCACGGGTGAACAGCGATGGCCGCGTCCTGGCAGCCTGTGCTGGGAGCTCGGCTGAGAGGCAGCTCGCTCTGGCCTCCAGTCAGGCAGGAATGTCTGTTGAAACAGTCGCGCACATTCCCAGATTAGAGCGGGTGTGCTGCAGGCGCTGCAGCTGACCTCACTGTCGGGAGGGATTCTGGGCGCGTATTTACTGCGCTCCACCAGGCGGCTTCGTTCTTAGAGCTCAGGCTTGCAGGCCTGTGGGACCGAGCAGACTGCCACAGCGGGGACCTACGTGCCTGAGCCCTGCCGCCCGCCGAGCCTGGGAATCCGAGTGCTATGGCCAGGCGGCAAAGGCTGGCTTCGGGGTAGTTTCTGGATGGCAGGCAGCCAGGACCAGGCGCTGCACAGCGGGCAGGAGGGGTGTGGGCCTCAGAGAGCCCCTGAGTAGTCGAGCAGTGGTAAGTAGGGTGCTGCTGCCCATGAGCTTCCAGCTGAAGGCAGCGGAATTTCCAGAAGCCCTTCAAATACTGCTGCCTTGCTTCTTGCTCCCCCGGGGTGGTGGAGTACTGGGTAGGCCGGAAGCTGGCAGGAAGAGGGCTGTTTAGGGGGTGATCGGCCAGATTGCTAACTTGCCCCGTAATGTGCTGGCTCCGTGCGTGGGGCTGGGCTCCCGTGCAGTCTGTCCTGGGACAGGTCTGTGCTGGGTGAGGCGCCGGGGTGCTCGGGGCAATCCTCCTCGGCTCCAAACACACGTTGGCACACACATCCCGCCTGGGTGCGTCTCTGAGCTCCCGCACCCTCTGTCTTCCTGGCTGGCCTGGGAACCAGCTGGGCTGCGGCCCGCTTGCTGTTGGACCCAGCTACTCTCGTAGCCTGGGTGCGTCTCTGAGCTCCCGCACCTCTGTCTTCCTGGCCGGCCTGGGAACCAGCTGGGCTGCAGCCCGGCTTGCTGTTTGGACCCAGCTACTCTCCTTGTGTGATGAGTCAGAGACTTGATCCTCTGTCCCGCTCTGATTATCATCTGCTATTAGCCTGGTGCTCTGAGACAGGTCGGGGTGGGGCTGCTGTGCTGACTCTCCGGCAGCTCCCTTAACCTGTGTGTTGTCTCCCCAGCACGATCCTGGAGGAGGAGAAGGCTCAGCACGAGGAGCGCATGAGGATGGAGTCCAGAAGACAGGTCACCGTGTCCTGGGACTCCGGAGGGTCCGACGAAGCGCCGCCCAAGGTAGCAGAGGCCCCCGCCCCAGCTTTGCATTCCCCCCAGCATCTGAGGGTCTGGTGTAGGCAGCTGCTGTCTGGGGAGGAAACCCAGTATCACACTGTTCTGAGTAACCCTTTAGCTCCAGCTGCTGTTTCTTGTCTGCTCCCTGCTCTTTGCACTGGGTGTCCCAGTTTCCATTTCAGCTGCAGATGGGCTGGATTCTTCCTGTGCTCTTTAAATGCTCTTCCCGGCCTCCCTTCCCCCTCCTCCTCGTTCCCTCCCTCCCGTCTCCCTGCAGCCGGCAGCCCGCCCCAGGGGAGGCTGCTCCGTTGCTGTTGTCGGGGGCCTCTCACTCCCTCTCTCTCGTGTCAAGTCCAGGTTAGAGCGTGAGGGACTGAGAAGAGGTCAGGAGTGCTTCACATTCCGCTTTGTCTCAACAGGAGTCAAATCCTACCAGACCCTGTTCCTTTTGGGCTGGGTTTGGTGTGGTTAGAGCCTCCTCTGGCCTATGGCTGCTGGCTGGGGTGGGAACTGCATGCAGCATCCTCAGGCCTGGCCTCGGACCCCCTTGGACTAAGGGTTCCTCACGCACCTTTGGTTTGACAGGCGGGTGTTCTCACACTGGCTCAGTTGCTGTGAGTGATCGGTTCATTTCTGGACAGTAAATAGATAATAGGCTTGTTTGCAGTTAATAATTACCTCCTGTTTGATATTTCATTGGTTAAAAATATATTAAGAATCTTTGACGATTCTTTTGTTTATTTGTTTTGTTAATCTTCACCCAAGGGTATTTTTCCATTGATTTTTAGAAACAGTGGAGGAGGGACGGGGAGAGAAAGAGTGAGAGAGAGAGCAACATCCATGTGAGAGACACACACTGACTGGTTCCCTCCCAGGAGCATGACCCTGACCAGGGCTGGGGGTCGAACCTGCAACCCAGGTACATGCCCTTGACTGGAGTCAAACCTGAGACTCTTCGGTCCACAGACTGACACTCTTAACTAACTGCTGAGCCAACCTGGGCTACTTTGACAATTCTTTAATTTACTCTATTTTCTTTTTGAAAACGTTTCGAAATCTGTTAGTCCAAAGTGCTCTTTAGCTATTATACCATTTTTTTTATCATGCTACCTGAAAGTTCTTTTCATGGTCAGTGTTTTATTTTTTATTTATTTTTATCCTCATCTGAGGACATTTTTGCATTTATCTGTAGATAGAGCAGGAGGGAGAGAGGGAAGAAGAGAGAGAGAAACATCAATGTGAGAGAGACACATTGACTGGCTGCCACCCACATGACCCCAACCAGGTCCGGGGACAAATTCCAACCAAGGTACGTGCCCTTCAGGAACCGAACCTGGGACTCTCCGGTCCATGGGCCATTACTCTATCCGCTGAGCCAAACCGGCCAGGGCCATGATCAGTGTTTTAAATTGTGTGGCACTGAGCACTGTCACACCCCTGACGAAGTATGGGGACTGGCACAGCTGCTCAGACTTGCAGAGGTGAGGAACTCCACAGTCTAGCCTACCCCACAAATGGAAAACCGGAGGCCAGGGCAGGGAGGCCCGTCATCTGTCCCATGGATGTTGCTTTAAGTGACTTTAGCGATGGAACCAAGACATTTCTCCATCTCTACTAGTTTAATAACAAATAATGCTTAATTGCCCCCAGAACAGCTGTGAACCCCACTTCCCAGCATCTGAGGCCGCCGGGCTGTGTATACAAGTGTGCCTGTGTTCCCCTCAGAGCGGCTGCACAGAGCCCCGTGTGGGGCGGCGGGGTGTCCGTGCTCACATTCACGTGGTGCTCTGTTGATATGTTCACAGCCCAGCAGACCTGGTTATCCTAGTCCGAGGTCCAGCGAAGGGTTTTATCCCAGCCCACAGCACATGGTGCAGACCAATCATTACCAGGTACGTCGGCCGTCGCAGAGACTGGGGTGGGGGGAGGCTGTGTATGTTTACGTGTTATTTGTGTCCTAAGAAGTGCGGGGTGGCGAGCAGAAGGCTGGGAAGGAGTCAGCCTAGTCACTGCCTAGGTGCACGCTGCCCTGCCGTCCTCGCGGGGCTGCGAGCCGTCGTCCGCAAGCAGCAGGGCCAGAGTCCCTGCCCAGGCCCCTTTCCTCCTGTTCCCACAAAGTGCAGGACCAGGGGGCAGGCCCTGCAGAGATGGTGCCACTGGGGAGTTCTGGAGGCCAAGAGTAAGATTCAAAATGCCTTCAAAGCCAGAGAAGGTGCCATGTGGACCAGTGCAGACTGACTGCTAGACTGGCAGACAGATGACTCGCACAGAGGGGGAGAGATCGTCCCCCGGAGGAAGGGCCAGAGCACAGGCTTTGTTCTGTGTCCGAGGGGCGGCGTCAGCTTTTCTGAGGGCAGGAAGGCCGAGCTCAGCAGGCACTGAGAGGAGCCGGACACCAGAATTGTTTAGATGAGAAGTGGCCGTGAGAGCGAGCCCCGGGTCCCCGGCCTGGGGGCCTCGCCCTGTGCGGGCTCAGCTGGGCTCGGCCTCTGTCCTGGCGTCCACCCTGAGGACCCGCAGCACCTGGAGCAGTGTGGAGTAGAGCTGAGTCAGGTGCCGAGTCAGAGCCGCAGCTGGTCGGGAGGAAGGGTGGCCTCCTCCGCGTCTGAGTGAGAACACGCAGGACCGTCCCTGTGCTATCTCCTGTGCCTCTTAGTCCAGAATGCGCTTCTGGTCCTGTCAATGCTGGCTGGTATGTAGAAACTGTCTGAGACCATCTGAAATCTCTTTGTTGTGAAAATTCCTTAAAGTGCTTGGGCTGTACTATGTCCTTGCTGACCAAATATAGTAGCGGCACAGCATTTTCTGTTTAGTGGAATTTTTTATTATTAAATGTTTTTATTCAGCAAACTGTGAGAACTGTCTGTGTATCTTATCTGACAGTTCAGTTCCGTATTGTCGGGTAAGTGGTGCCAGGAGCCCTGACAGATGCACAGCCTCTGCGAAGGCTGTGTGGCTGTGTGGCTGTTCTTTGTCTCGTTAAAACATTGACTAACACCCCAGCCATCCGGTGCTACCCTGGTGAGTCATGGGGACAAGTTCAGGTGTCTGGTCTGAGTCCTCTCGTTTCCTTCTGCCTGACACTGTTCTCCATGTCCAGCTGACTGTCTTCCGTATGGCTTAGTCGTCACTGTTAGAATTCGGGGTTGACCCCTCCCACCACCAGCCCCCGTTCATCAGGGCAGACATTGGGGGTTTGCAGAGACAGTGTGCTCCCAGCGCGTGGCACCTGGGAGAGCCCTCAGCAGCTGGTCTGCGGCTGTGCGGCCGGCTTGCAGCCGTCGGCCAGTGTGGCTTCAGGGGCATCCACTGAGGCCACCTGCCTTCCTGGGCTCGTGACCTCCTTCCCTCCATGTTCAGGGCCACAGCCCATGTGTCACAAATCTTCAGTGGTCACATCTCCCTCTTGCCTCTTCCGCTTCCCCCTTGCACTTTCTAAGGAGCCGTGTGATCACACCAGGTCCACTCAGACAGTGCTGGACCCTCTTCCCATCTTGGGCGTCCCGTTTACGGCCCCTCTGCAGAGTCCCTTTGCCGTGCAGGTGCACAGCCACAGGTGCAGGGCGTGGGCGTGAGCAGCTTGGGGCCGTCCTGTGGCTGCCGAGCATTCGCTGTCATCACAGTGACCTTTCCACGAGGAGACAGCTGAGCAGAGCTCAGTGTCAGGACCACCTGCCCCCCTCGCCCGCAGGTCTCCGGCTACCCTGGCTCGCATGGGATCACGGCCGTGGCAGGCAGCCTGTATCCAGGGCAGGCGTCTCTTTTGGACCAAACAGATTCATGGAATCACAGACCACAGGAGATATCGATGTGGCAGCCCAGCATGGAGGTAAGTTGGATGTTCTTGGGCTTCGCTGTGCTAACTGACATAGCTTTGTCCAAGGTGCCTTTTGTTTGTGAATCCTACAGTTCTCAGATCAGGATACTCCTTTTACTCAGATGCTTTCTGACTCTGTGGATCTTTTTTACTAAAGAAAGGAGAGAGGCTACCACCATTATCCCATTCATATGAAAGGCAGAACCTAGATTGCATGGAGTCAGGGTGGACCTGGGGCCCAGGAAGGAACAGGAGGACGGAGTGTACACCTCCCACAGGCCCATGTGTCTCCCTCCCAGTGTCCCCTGTTCGCCAGGACTGAGGCATGCTCTGGCACATCTGTCTGGCTGTCCTGCAGCTCTCCCTGCCTATGGGGCTGAGCGTAGCGACCGTGCACTTGGTGGAGAGGCCGTGTTAGCTCGCAGCCCAGGCCACTCCCGCAGGCGGTGCACAGCCTGCTTCCACCACCTGGCTGTCCCGCTTCCCGCTCGGAACGACAGAGGACGAGGACGAGCCTCCCAAGCAGACCTGAGAGTGACCATGCAGCTTCCATCCCTCAGGACCCTGCGGCGCTGGACCTGCGTGGGATCGGGCAGGCGCTGCCGGCACACCTGATGGAGGAGCGGCTGATCCGGCAGCAGCAGGAGATGGAGGAGGACCAGCGCTGGCTGGAGAAGGAGGAGAGGTTTCTGGTAATTGTGTTCGGAGCTGCTCTTCCACCTTAGGCCCTGCTGGAGTCGTGCAGAAGTTCATGCTTTCCGTAGCCAGAGAGCTAGTTTTACAACTGGTTCCTAAAACTTGCGCGTGTAGGGTATTTGCTTTTCCTGACTTATATTTTAGGATTAATTTCTGAGGCTTTGGCAGTGGCCTTGTGGGCTCGAAGGTGTGCATTTCTTTGGTCTCTGTGTCGCCACTGTGCTCAGAGAACACCCCCAGGGTGTCAGCCTGTGTGTGAACATCCCACCTGCACTGCAGTGTTCCGGGGTCCCTCGTCTTGGCCTGGGGTGCAGACCTCCTCCTGCCTGTATGGGGGTGGGGAAACGTGTCTTTCTCAGCAAGGCTTGTTGACACCCCCTGGGAAGTCCTCTGGGGACAGACAGGAAGTGGTGAGACAGAGTGCTCTCTGTGTGTCGCTTGACACAGGGCCCTTTGGACTCGGGCCCCTTGCCGGGCACTCTGCCCCTCAGCCTCAGAACCCACACACCCACACAGCTATCTCCGTCTTCCCGAAGCGACCTGACGGGAGACAGCTGAGCAGAGGCCAGACTCCCACCGTTTCCACAGAACCTTGAGTGAGGACTTTCCCTGGGTGGTCCCAGGGTCCCTGTGCTCAGACTCGCGCACGGTCCTCTGTGCTGAGGGTGGGACTCCAGTGTGGTTGGGTGCAGCCCTGTCAACTGCTGGAACCGTCAGCCACGGCACTGCAGACCGCGTTCTGCAGAGTTCATCGGCGTGGGTTCTGATTGCATCATGTACATGTGGCTTGCAGTTCTTCTACTCTAGTTAACAGTATAGAAAGCAGCCTGCGCACTGGTTTGTTTAGTGAAGCACGTTTTCCTCCGTGGGCCAGGGCCTCGTGGAGGTGTCTGCGGCCGACCTCTGCAAGCCCGCCAGCCGGGTGCCCACCTGTGGGCCTGGAACTAAGCACCTTCTCTTTCTGTCGTTAATCCTCACCCAGGGATATTCTTCCACTGATTTTTAGAGGGAGCGAAAGGGAAGGAGGGAGAGAGAGAGAGAGAAACATTGACGTGAAAGAGACACATTGGCCCGGCTGGTGTGGCTCAGTGGTTGAGCGTTGATCCGTGCGTGCATCAAGGGGGTCCCTGGTTTGATTCCCGGTCAGGGCACATGCCCAGGTTGTGGGCCCGATCCCCAGTGGGGGGCATGCAGGAGGCGGCCAGTTGATGTTCTCGCTCATCAGTATTTCTATCTCTCTCCCTCTCCCTTCCTCTCTCTCTGAAAATCAATTTTTAAAAATTAAAAAGAAAGAGATGCATTGATTGGCTGCCTCCCGCACAACCCCGACCAGGACCAGGGATCCAACCTGCAACCCAGATTTGTGCCCTTGACCAGAATCGAACCCACGACTCTTCGGTCTGCCAGCCAATGCTCTACCCGCGGAGCCACACTGGCCAGGGCTTGATCACCTTCGTTTTTGAGGCCTACAGATACCATGCTTCACAGGCAGGTCACTGCCGTACAGGTGCAGTGCACACTTAGCACTGCCTGTCACTGCTGAGCGGTGAAGAGAAGGCACTGTGTCACTACCTGCTGATCGCCGCCCCGCATGCTGCTGCTGTGTGAGGCTCTGTCTTCGCAGCCGCTCGGAACCCACTACTCCAGACTGCGGTTCTGTGTGCCTCAGAGTGCAGCGCTTTGTCTCAGAAAGGTGCTGTGGCCGGTGCACGTGCCACGTGTCAGGTCCTGCTTCAGGACGTCCCGCAGTCGGAGCACTGGTATTCCGACAGCAGAGCACGAGTCTGCACCCTGACAGGTGTGAGAACAGACCTCACACCGGTCCCCTCGGGTTTTGCCATGAAATTGGTTTGCATCAAACATAAACAAAATGACCATTCTTCGGAGTGTCTTAGATTCTGTAAACAACGGTAAAGGAATATGAGCCTGTCCCTCTTGATTCTCATTGCCCAGGGCCTCTGGCTGGTGTGACAGAGCCAGAAGTCCACCCAGCAGCCACCCAGTGGCCCCGCTCCCGGGTCTGTGGCCCTAACCTCTCGGCACCTGCCCCTGGCACATGGCCCGCCCCACCAGGCCTGGTTCCCCACCTCCCGTCACAGTAAGGCTGCTCGTGCCTGCTGTCAGTGCTGCACTCTTGGAACCGAGCTCACTCTGATGGCATTCTCAGCTAGGTCAAAGCAAGCTTTGAGATGCTAAGGCAAGCTTCAAAAAATGGTCACTGTTACTGCGCTGACCTGAGCTAACCTGTGCGAGTCTCCGTTTGGCTCTAAGACCCCCGCCCTGTTCTCAGCCTGTGCGGGCGGCCTCTTTCCCACAGCCACTTGTGTTTTTGAGTAAATGTCACAAACTCTCTGCACTACAGTCCATGCATCTGACTTCGGCGCCCTGTGTCGGGCTGCGCTCGAGCCACGGGTTCTCCGGAGTGGGTGGAAATGCTGTGGTGTGGCGTGATGAGCCCGGCCCGTGCCAGGGCAGGCAGGGGGGTGGCAGAGTTCAGCCAAGGCTGAAGGCAGACTGGGATGTTCCAGGCACACGGGCTCAGGAAACAGATCCCAGGCCAAGGAAAGGGGTGTGACGACAGCGGCCGGGGACTGTTGTCAGGGCTCCCCTTGCTTGACGGGACCTGAGCTAGCTAGTGGGACGTGGGTGCTGGGCTTGGCATCATTCAGTCTTCTGAGTGGTTTCTCGCGGTCTAATGAAAGGCTCGAGACTGCGTTTACTCTGCTGGCTGGTCGGTCAGTGGTCGGTTTTCATTTTTAATCCATCATTTGCACATGATCCTGACTGCACGGATCTTAGTGTACAATGCGATGCGCTTTGATAGATGCAAAAGTCTGTGTGACCCGTACCCCTGCATTGAACACTGCTGTCGCTCCAAATAGGTTCAGGATTATGTTCCACATCCACTCAGGGAGCTGCATAAAACAGCCCAGTGGGGTGCTGGTCCACCCGCAGCCACCCTCAGTGGTCTTTATTCCTGGGCTCGGAGGAAGGGCGTTTCCCAGTTGCTCCTGACCTCCTCTATTTCTCCTGAATAGCTTTTGTAATCTCCTCTGACTGCGTCTTACTTCCCCGGGACAGCTCCCTGTCGCTGACCTGGTGTGTCCCATTCCCCTTGGACTTCCCGCTGCGCATTTCTGTGTGCGTAGGCGGTTGGCCCTCAGGAATGCACCCTGAGCTTTCCGAGTGTCCCCTGGCTCTTCCGAGGTCATGGCTGTCACTCTTTAAAGCAGTACTTCACTCAGTGCTCACAGACCCCCACTCCTCCCCGGAAGGGTCTCCTGCTGCTTTGGTAGACAGAGCCCCTGGCCTGCTCCTCCTGCTTCTGCTTCGCAGACCGTGTCTGTGATGGTTTCTCCGGTCGGTGTGACTTGGTGGAGCGTTACTGCACAGTTCAAATGGACGGTGGTGCTTCTGCTTACACAGAGCGCTGGACGGGTGAGCGGGGGGATGTGAGGTTCGCTCAGCTCCGTGCTCGCCTGGCCTCCCGAGAGAGGCCCCCGCGCAGCCATGACTGGTGACCCTTCTCAGGCCGTTTCTTCTGTGTGTGGTGTTCCCTGGGATCAGAACTGGAGTCTGTGAGCGGGAACGGCGTGCGCATTGTCACTGTTCACCGCTCCCAGCCCAGCGCAGCGCTGGCTCCTGATGCGCTGCGGGGTCGCTGCCTGTCTGGTTCTGGTCTTCGCCAGAGGCGCTGTGGGCGGTGGGCTGCTTCTGCGGACAGGGAGCCGAGAGCCAGGGGACGGGGACCAATAAGCTTTCCTTCCGCCGGGGACATTTCCCGTCAGGACCTCTGCACTGCTGTCCACTCCGAGCCATTTTCATGCCACGGCCACAGTGGCAGTCGAAGCCCGAGTCTGATCCTGTCGCTCTCTAATGTAAAACCTGCCTCCTTCCCAGCCCCTCCTCTCTCCCTGTCCCCCCAGGCAGCTCCTGACCACAGCAGGGAGCACGGGGAGGGCCGAGCAGCTGAGACCAGAGGGCCAGGCCCAGAAGGTCTGGGAAGGACACCCCAGGGAAAGGGCACTGCCCAGGCGAGCTGGGAGGGAGCCAAGCCCAGGAACAAAGGGACAGATCACACGGGCCCTTCGGCCATGCGGGCGGGGGGAGGAGGGTGGCCAGGGGCGTGGAGGCTGCAGGAAAACGGAGCAGCTTGGCACTCAGAGGGCCCTTCCATCCCGAGTCTCCTCTTTTAAGACAGCATCACGAGGAAAAATCCTAGACTTTGGAGAGTCAAAACTCCTTATTGTGACTCTGCATAAGTTGTTTTCTCTCTTTATGTTTCAACTTAAAAAAAAAAAATGTTTTCATTGATTTTTTTGGAGAGAGAGATAGAAACATCAATGTGAGAAACATCGATCGGCTGCCTCCTGCACACCCCCAACTGGAGATTGAGCCCACAACCCGGGCATGTGCCCTGACTGGGAATCGAACCAGGACCTCTCCCTCCTGGGTGGAGGGAGCAGGAGTCACCCCGTTAGCTTTTCAAAGGGCCTTCATCTCTCTTCCTCGCTTTGCGCTGCACAGCTGCCGCGAGCCGCGTCGATGAGGCTCTGGGCTCCTAGGTCGTGTGCCTCGTGTCCCAGAGTACCTTCTGGCCCCTGCTGACCAAAGGCTAATGTAATAGGTGGAGCGAGAGGTTGGCCGGTTTCAGAGGGATTCTGCAGAGGAGCCCTGAAGGGATCGCTCAGGAGCTGAACGTCCTTTTATTGGGTTTATTGGTGGTTATAAAGAAACCTTAATCCGCTCTTGTTACCAGTTAGCTGACGGGCCCCTGGTGGTGTCTCAGTGCCCTGTGTCCCCTGTGATATAGAACCCGTGTGCTGGAAATGCCCCCTTTGAGGCCGAGGTGCCTTCCCGGGCAGGCTTGGCCAGCTGTCAGTGAGGCAGGGCCCGCGTCTGCTTCAGTCTGAACTGCCGTAGACCTGCTTCCCTAGTTAAATAAAATAAAACCAGTTATGAGAAAAGGGAAATGTTAAAAAAGATACACAACATACAAGCCAAACTTTTTTATTATGAACTTCAACAGACCTCCAACTATTCAGATTGCTTGAGAAGTTGCTAGAGATGCTCGCCTCCTGCTCTGTCCCCTGGCCTGGCACCGAGCATTCTCGGCCCACCCGGTCGTTGGACGGCATGGGGAGCAGCTCTGCTCCCACCCCCGTGACATCAGCAACCTGCAGAGGCAGGTTCTGCTTGAAAAGTTAGCTCTTAGGTTCTTTCTCAGTCCTGCTTCCCAGGTTCTTCTCTAATAGATCAGAGTCTGCAGCTGTTTATTGAAACCTTCCATCTTCAGGGCTCACACGACTCATGTCACTGTTGTTGACAATGGCCCTGCCTCCCTGAGTGCTGCGGTCAGCACGGCCGCAGACACGCCTGCCGGTGCCGTTTCACAGCGGCCAGGGCCCAGGGCAGCTCGCGGGGTGGTGTGCTCACTTCTCCCACCCCAGTCAGCGTGTCCTTGGGCAGCCAGCCACGCCCGCTTGTGCTGTGTCCACGCGGCCAGGGCGCTGAGCGCGTCCTTCCCTCGGGCGGCTGCGCAGTCGTGTGACTCACTTCATGACTGCGCAGCACTTTCTGAGGTGATGCTGTGCTAGATTCAGGGTTTCAGCTTCAGCAGGAGAACGGCCTGTCCACACAAAGCCCACTTCCTGACACAGGAATGGATATTTGAGCTGTTTCCTTCAGCAAATCCAAGGTGGCCCTGGGAAGACCGCTCTGCTTCTGGGCCAGGCCACAGCCCCCGTGTGTCTGCCTGACGCGTCTGCCGGAGGGGAAGCCGGTGGGGAAGCCGGTGGGTGCAGCCAAGGAGGGTCTTTGAGTTGGAGGCCTGCACTCGAGGTGTTTAGAGTGACAGCCACCTGAGAGTAGAGACCAAGGCGGGCGCGTGGGTAGCTGTGTCCCCAGAACCTCACAGCACCTTCGGCTCTCTGCTACCGATCCGAGGGGCTCGCATGCCCACTCGCGGGAGCATATGCGCAGCCACCTCTCGATGGTGCCAGGAACGAGCTAGCCCATGCCCTGGACAGCGGAATGCACAGACATTCGTGCTGCGGGTGCCGCACAGTAGCGGAGTGGACAGACACAGGGACGGGCTCGCAGACAGGTGCTCACAAGATGCAGACACACCAGGTGCACATTGTGTCCACTTGCTTGAAGCTCAGACGGTCATCCATGCGGCGAGGGGAAGGCAGGAATCCACAGGGCGGGCAGGCGCGTGTGGGGTTATCCCATCCGGGGATGTGATAGGCGGGTGCACACGTCCAGGAAGATGGCATGAGCTTTACACTGAACATGTGTGCACTTTGTTGTCTGTGCTGCACCCACGTTAAGGAAGAGGGGCCTGCCTGGTGGGGAGCTCAGTCAGATCGTCCCAAACTGCCGTCCGTGACCATCCCAGTGGGCACTGCCCTCCATCCCCAGTGCCCTGGGCGGGGCAGGAGCCCTGAGCCTCACCCGAGCAGGAGCAGCGACAGGCCCTCGCCCTCCGGGCAGGCTGCTCAGCACTGGCCCAGCTCTGCCCTCCCTTCGGCAGGTGCGTGGGGAATAGCGCAGAACCCCTCGCGGGACAGCGCAGGCTTCGTGGTGAAGGCCTCTCTCATTTAAAATGGAATCCTGTCTTCGGAAAAGTATAACTTAGGGAATTATTGTGTATAAAGAAATAAAAATAAGTCATTTTGTGTGATTTACATGGGAAGAAAAATAGGTAATTCGTGTAAAGACATGAAACACAGTCCCTTACTCTGTCAGCGGGCACGCAAACTCGAGTTGCCCTCGTTGAAGTGAAAGGCAAACACAGTGCGTCCAGCCTGGAAGGCCTCGCCGGCGTCTGAGCTGGTGGCGCCCGCCACGCCTGCTCGCGGGGTCAGGCTCCTCGCCTGCGAGCCCGTCTGCCCGCGTGGCGACCAAGCACCCCTTCCTCGAGTGTCCACTGAGCGCTGCGCCGGGCCCTGGGGTCCGCCTGGCGGGTGGGGGTGGGCTTGGGGCGTGGCATAGTGCAGGTCACTCTGCCCCCACCTGCCTGTCCCTGCTGCACCAGAAGGCAGAGGCCCAGTGGGGAGCACCCGCCACGCCCGTCCTCACGGCTGCGGCGTAGGAGGAGAAGCCAGCCTTCCGTTCACAGCCGGCAGCACAGCGTCTTGCTGGCGAGCCTGAGTGGCCCCCAGTGGGAGAGACCCGAGTTCCCGGCAGGTCAGCGCGCCCGTCTGCCGAGCCGTTGGCAGCCAAGACCCAGAACTTTCCGAATGTTGGAACCCTCTGACCCAGTAGTTCCGTTCCTAGAAACCTGTCCCGGGGATACAAGTAGTCAGGGATTTAGTTAGATTTGTACACAAAGGTGTCATCCATAGTCTGTTTAAACAGTCGAACATTTGAAAATGGCCCAAATGGTCAACTAACAGTGGAAGTGCTTATTTTACTTGACACTTAATGTGGCGAAAACTCAGTAATGTGCCAACATTCATCCACTCGACACTCCTAACCAGCGAGCCTGCGCAGTGCGTCTCATCACTGCCCCTTGCGTAGCTGAGGACTGAGGCCCAGGTCACACAGCGCAGAAGGGCTGGAGTCTGACCTGTGCCAGGCCCGTGCCAGAGCCCAGGCCCCGCCTGCGTGTCTGGTCGCGACGACGTTCAGGCTCTGGGGCACCGTGCAGCCTCTCGCCTTGTTCCACCTGGTCGCACTCTGATGTTGTGTGAACTCGGGAATTCTGCGGCACGGTTCACTCCTGTGCACGTGGACGTGTAACAAGAGCGAGACAGCCAGCGCTGTGCCGTGCGCTGGGCCTGCCCGCGGGGCGCAGGGCTGCACGGACGGGTCTGCAGCAGGCCCCTCACGTTGGGAGGGGCGATCTCTGCACACCCACAGCTCTCCGGTGGACAGTGGGCTCCAAGGAGGGGTGGCCGGTGTGGAGGCAGCGTGGCCAGCATGGTGGGCAAGCTGGGAGTTGCCCCAGATGGCGTGGAGCTGGCTCTCTCTGTTCTGGTGTCGGTGGCATTTCTGTGCTCTCACTTGTGTTATACCCAGTTTTCTCCGTCTGGGGCCTGTGTTCTGGGTGCTTTGTGGGAAACTTGCTGCTGTGGCGGGACAGCCAGGTCCACGCGGCCTTGCCGGGAGGTGCAGCTGCTCCTGTCTGTCGAGTGCAGGGTCCCGGGGAGGGGACCACTCGCCCTGCTGCTGCAGGGGCCAAGTGCCGGGGCCCGGGGGCAGGGCCTGGCCGGGCCGCCAGCCAGGAGTTGTCGTTTCTGGGTTTGGGGAACCGTCCTGAAACTGGGGACCTCTCAGCTCTCCTTGGTCAGGACAGTCGTGCTGTGGAAGGAAGGAGCTTGAGAACCAAGACTGAAGCTGCTCGGTTCTGTTTCCACTGCAGAAACCTGACGTGCGGCTCTCTCGCGGCAGCGTGGACAGGGAGGACGGGAGTCTCCAGGGCCCGGTAAGCAGCTGTCGAGTCCGCGCCAGGACTCGGACTGTCCTTCCCGTGTCACGCGTGCTGGTGCAGGGCCACCGACCCAGCGTCCACGCACCCGCACCTTCCTCAGAGCCGCCCCGCCAGGGCAGCTGGACGCTGTGCCCTGAGGAGGCGCGGGCACGAGCTGCCTGCTGGTGCACACAGTGTGTCTGCTGGTGCACACTCCTCACAGCCTCCACGGGCCAGTGAAACAGTTCCCGTCACAGAAAACCTGTACGGTTTTTCCCTCTGGATGTTGTCAGGGGAAATGCCTAACGTTCTCTTTACAGAGCTAGCTTAGCTCTGGCCAGTTCGGCTCAGTGGCTGGATGTTGGCCCACAGACCAATGAGTCTCAGGTTCGATTCTGGTCAAGGGCATGTGCCTCGGTTGCGGTTGGTCCCTGCCCTGGTCGGGGTCCTGTGGGAGGCAACCAATCGATGTCTCTCTCTCCCTCCCTCCCAGTCTGTCTAAAGATAAATAGAAAAATATCCTCGGGTGAGGATTTTTTTAAAAAAGGAGCTAGCTTATGTGCTGGACGGTTTGCTCGGTGATTAGGGCATCGACCCGTGGCCCAAAGAGTCGCAGGTTCAATTCGCAGTCAAGGGCATGTACCTCGGTTGCAGGTTCGATCCCTGGCCCGTCAGGTTCATGCGGTAGGCAACCAATCGATTTCTCTTTCTCCCTCTCTCTCCATCCCTCCTTCCCACTCTATCTCAAAAAGAAAGTCAAAAAGTATCCAGGTGAGGATTCAAACAAAAAGAGCTAGTTTGTGGTTGACCCAAATATATTTAAAACCTGCTAGAACGCTTCTGTGGTCTTTTGGGGAGAGTAGTTAAAATTGTTCTGTTAGGATATCCATCAGCAGATGTTTGGTTGAAATAAACAAAAATTTCGTTTACCACTGAAAGGCGCTCCCAGTAGAACAGGAGCCTGTGCCTGCTGGGCAGACATTGGGACCAGTTTCCACGGGTGAGGCTCTGGCTAGAAGCAACCACGGGTCACACCAGACGTGCGTGTGCATGTCAGACACTGGTCGCCAGCTCCAAGAGGCCCAGTGGGAAAGGACCCCACCAGGAGCTCTCCTGTCTGAACTGGGATACCCAGCTGGCCCGAAATCTGGCCCCTGGGGGCCATGCCCAGCGTCCAGCGGGTGAGGGTGCTGTACACTTGGCAGGAGGCAGGTCATCCACCATCTGACACCTCCACACACCTTCCTTCTGTGTGACAAGCAGTCTGACCCACATTGCAAAGAAGAAAGCAAGACTCAGCATGACAATAAGCCCTCATCCTGGGACCAGCTGTTGCGAACGTCACAGACAGGGAAGTGCATTAGAAAAGGAAAGTGCCGGCTAGTGTGGCTCAGGGGTTGAGCATTGACCCAGCACCAAGAGGTCCCCGATTCCATTCCCGGTCAGGGCACATGCCCAGATTGTGGGCCGATCCCCAGTGGGAGACATGCAGGAGGCGGCCAATCGATGTTCTCTCTCATCGATGTTTCTGTCTCTCTCTCCTTCCCCCTTCCTCTCTCTCTAAGAATAAAATAATAAAGGAAAAAATACTAATAAAATAAAGGGAAAGCTCTGTGTGTCCAGTACGTGGCATGTGAGGGCTCTGGGAAATGTGGAGACGAGGGTGATGGAGTGACTGACATCTGCTGAAGGGTGACCCAAGAACACTAAAACAGGTGGAGCGGGAAGGGGCGCTCGCGGCCTCCGAGAGACGGGAGTGTAGTTCCCCTGGGGAGGGCGCTCTGCCTGCAGGTGCTGTGCTGGGTGCTTCCTCCTGCCCCTCGCTGCATCCTCAGTGCCCTGTGAAGGCAGGCACTTGCCGTCCACACCCCACAGAGGAGTAAACAGGCTTACAGAGAACGCACGCCGAGTTGCCCACTGCAGTGCCAGGCGCCACATGCCAGCTGACGGGTACCTCCTCCCTGGACGCATGGCTCCGGCTGTGGTCCCCTCCCGGGTGGCTGCTGGCTGTGGCACTTTGAAGCCCTCCGACCTTCCACTCGAAAACACGCCCGTCTCCAGGAGAAGCCTGTGGCCAGAGCGTGTGGGCTGCGGGTCAGCCTGAGCTCACTGAACACTGGTGCCTGCCCGTGGAAGGGGCCCCTCGGTGTGCACAGAGGGAGAGCGTGCGGGCTGCGGGTCAGCCTGGGCTCACTGAGCGCTGGTGCCTGCCCGTGGAAGGGGCCCCTCGGTGTGCACAGAGGGAGAGCGTGCGGGCTGCGGGTCAGCCTGGGCTCACTGAGCGCTGGTGCCTGCCCGTGGAAGGGGCCCCTCGGTGTGCACAGAGGGAGAGCGTGCGGGCTGCGGGTCAGCCTGGGCTCACTGAGCGCTAGGGCCTGCCCGTGGAAGGGGCCCCTCGGTGTGCACAGAGGGAGAGCGTGCGGGCTTCCAGCACAGCGCACGGGCGGCAGCTCGTCTGTTCTGTGATGACCTTGAAGGAGGTAGGGGTCGGTAGCTTCAGGTTACAGATGGGAGACCCGAAGGTGCACACAGCTGAGTGAGTCCTCCACGGCCTGCAGCTGGACACCCGGCTGACCAGAGCATGGCCCCAGTCCACGCAGTGGCCTCCCACCCCTAGGCAGGGACTCCGGGGCCTGCCCTTCGGGAGTGGAGCTGTGGAGCTGCCTAGACAGTGCCTGCAGACTGTGCATCCGCCCACGAGGGCTCGGGCAGTGTTCCAGTTTGTCAAACTCTCCTGCTACCTGAGAATCAACCAGAACATTCTTTGTGTTTCAGACCTTTTAAAAGGCGTGTTTTACAGCCCAGGTCAGTTGGCACAGCACAGCACGTCTGTTCCAAAGTCTGGGCCGCGTTCCCCACCCTGCCCGTGCTGGGCTCGCAGCTGCTCTGCCCACGGGCTCCGCACACCCCTGCCTCCCTGACTGCTTCCCCCGAGTCTGCTCGAGGTCATGCGCTCCCTTTTTCTTAATCTTCACTCAAGGATATTTTTCCATTTATTTTCAGACAGAGTGGGGGTGAGGGGGGGAAACATCAATTGGTTGCCTCCCACGCAACCCCAACCAGGGCCGGGTACCAAACCACCCTTGACCCGAATTGAACCTGCAAGTGTTCGGTCCTAGGGCCGATGCTCTAACTGCTGAGCCAAACCGGCCTGGGCGGAGAGTTCACATTCTCAAAAGGCCTGCCCTTCCTACTGAAACTGCACTTTCCTGGTGCCCCGCAACCCTTTTTCCCTGGGCACAGCCTGCTGTCCTTGGTTGTCTGTTCCTCTCCCCCCACTGGGGGGTGCCAGCAGGGCCAGCCTGCTTTGTGCCGAACCAGGCAGGTGTCAGTAACTTGGCAGGTGAGTGCAGGTGAACTGAGGGCTACACAAAGGCTAGTTAAAGGGGCCCCTCGGGCTGCACGCCTCTCAGCTCGGAGACGCAGGTGTACGTGAAGAGGCCTCTGGGTCGGAGCGCAGCTTGAAGTGGTCTGTGAGCACACACCAGTCACGACTGCAGAGTCAGCATGGACCGTCTCTCCACGATTAGCACGAGTCCTAAAAATATTATTTCCATTGAGCCGGCCTGCAGTGGCTGTGCTAAGTGTGACTGCCGGCGTCGGAGTTGGTGTGATCGGAAGTGGAGCTGCCTTCTTGTCCTGTCCCTCTGCACAGGGTCAGGGCTCATGGCTGGGTCTTGGGCTGACCCAGGTCTAGGCTCCCAGTGGTGTGAAGTCTCCTCTTGTCATCGCGGTTCCCCTTGCACACCTTCTGGTAAGCAGGGTGGTCGGGAGGGTGCCGGAGCTTCCTGAGCAAGAGCCCAGAGGTGGGAAGGCCTGGTTTCACCGCACTCCTGAGACATCATGGATGTAATTTTTTAAAAGAGAATTTTTTTTTAAATCCTCACCTGTGAATATCTTTCCTTTGATCTTCAGGTAGAGTGAGAGGGAGGGAGGGAGGGAGAGATACATCGATGTGAGAGAGACGCATCGATTGGTTGCCTCCTGCATGACCTGACCAGAGCCAGAGACCAAACTGCAACCGAGCTGCATGCTCTTGACTGGAATCAAACCTGGGACTCCTTTAGTCCACAGGCCAGTGCTCTAACCACCGAGCAACTGGCCAGGGCACAAGGAGAACTTCAAGTTGGTTGTGATCGCCACGTCTGTGTTCCCACGGGGCCCTGCTTGCCTCCGTCACAGCCCGTCTGTCACCCCTCTTAGCATCCATTCTTATTTGCCTAACCCCACCCCACCCCACCCCAACTGCGGCCTTAAGGCAGCCCCACCCCAACCTTGGTGGGTTTGACCGGGGTTAGCATAGCTGCTGGGGTGGGTGGAGCGGAAGGTGCACACTGCTGCTGACCGGACTTTCTGTTCCCGCAGACTGGAAACCAGCACATTTATCAGCCTGTGGGAAAACCAGGTAAACAAATTATGTATCAAGAAGTTAGTGTAACTTGGAGAGAGTGGCTTTAAATGTCTAAGTGTCTTAGCTTTGGAAGGCCTCGTGGCTTTCTGTCAGGGCTCCCTCCACGAGCCGCAGCGTGTGTGCCGTGTGACGTGTGCCGTGTGACGTGTGACGTGTGACGCTGGGAGCGCAGCCCGTGCTACGAAGGCGGCAGGGACTGCCTGCGGCCGCCTCTCCGCCCGTCTGCTTTGATGGGGACCGCGTGTGAGTTGTTGCCGCTCCTTGTAAAGGTGCACTACTCAATAAGACATGTTCCTTTCCCAGATCCTGCAGCTCCGCCAAAGAAGCCCCCGCGTCCTGGAGCTCCCGGCCACCTGGGCAGCCTCGCCAGCCTCAGCAGCCCCGGGGACAGTTACAACGAGGGCGTCAAGGTGGGCATGGAGCCGGGACTCCTCGAGGCCTGTGGAGCCCTCGGGTCTCGGCCGAGGCTGGGCTGCGGGCTGTCTGGTGTGGTTCCGCACCCGAGGGTCAGGGACCAGCTTTACCGGAAGTCTTGTCCATCCTCTCTCGTGTGACAGATGCTAGGGCCTCGCTCAGAGCCCAGCTTCTAAATGCATCACTGGACTGAGTGTTGCTTTGGAATGAAGTGCTGGGTGGCTTCTGGTTTTAAAAAGTAATTAGACCAGGATGCTGGGTGAAGTGAGACCTTCCGAAGTGTGTCTCCAGGTCTGTCAGCCTGGCTGAGCAGAAACCTCTGTCCTGTCCATCCAAGGCCAGAGCTGTGTCTGTAGAAGCAGCTTTGCTCCGTGGGGCCAGCCTCGGATGAGGGGCCTCGAGGCTTGGGCACAGACACCTGGGAGCTTCTTCGTGGTTCCAAACCTGCCCTCCTGCCGCCCGCCCGGGGGGCCAGTAGGGCTGTCAGGTCTGGCCCTCCGGGTCCCCACAGCCCTCCAGTGCTGGGCTCACGGGGGCCTTGGGGAGGGCCTCCCCCTCTGTGCCCATCTGAGAGAGGCCAGCTCTGCTTTCCGTGAGAGAGCAGGTGCCACTCAGACGTGTTCTGCTTCTCGGTTCTGAGTGTTTTAGAAAGAGAGAGAGAAACATCGACGAGAGATGACGTCAGTTGGCCGCCTCCTGCACGCCCCCCACTGAGGATCTGGCCCACAACCCCGGCCTGTGCCCTGACCAGGGATCGAACCGGGACCTCTCAGTCCATGGGCCGACGCTCAGCCACTGCACCACAGCGGCCGGGCAGTGTGTTGGTTTCGTGGGCAGCGTGTTTTCTTAGTGGTGCAGCAGAAGGTGCATCGTGGTCTGCTGATGACAGTGTCGCTTAGCAACCCAGGCTCACAAATCACCACCACTTGCTTAGTGTCTGTGTCCTGTGTTCAGATCCTCACGCCAGCCTCACAGGTTGGTGGGGTTACTCTTTTTTCCACTTTCACGTAAGATAGCCGAGGTCCCCAAAGGTTACAGGGCATGTGCGAGGTTCTGGCCTCCCAACAGCTGACCAGCATGTAGCCATTGTCCTGTCCACTGTGCTGCCAGGTCCTGCGGGAGCTCTCAGGCCGGAGTCGGAGATCGTGCTGGGGGAGAGTGTCCTCTCCAGGCGCGGAGCCCGAGGCAGCTGCAGCCCAGGGCCAGCGCCCACCGTAGCAGGCAGGTCCGCAGTCAGAGGGCCGGTCCTGGAGCTCGGCCGGGGCTCCCAGCACCCTGGGCACCACACCAGTGCTGTCTGGGAGGAGGAGAGGGGCCACCACATGCCTAATGTGGGTTCTTGACATAAAGGGAAGGACAGAGGGCAGGATTAGGTTAGTGAACTTTTTTCATTTTCGTGAGCCACAGAATGGCTGGGATCACAGTGATGACCAGCGCTAGAAGCAGGTCAGATACCAGCTTGGAACCCTGACGCACGCGCCCCCGTGGGGATCCGCAAGCAAACGTGATGGACGTCCCCTTTTGTAGGGCGTCAAGCAAGTGAAATCCTAGTGAATAGTGTGCTCACTATATAGTAAATGTGAACTGAAGAGTTCTTAGTGCTCAGTACGTGTGAAATGTCTGTCCGTCACCCACTGGCGGGTCAGGCTGTCCAGTCGTCTGAAGGAAGCTGCTGCACCGGACAGAAATGCTCGCCTTCCCCCAAGTGCACACAGCTCCTGAGTAGCCGGTGCCGAGACGAGCCCCCGCTCTCCGTGGCGGCTCCAGTTTGCTTCCCCGTGGTCGGAGGCAGTAAGCAGCCCCTCCTCAGTGGCTGGCGCTGGCTGCTCCCATGCGGGTTTGTCCTCACCACCTGCTGGGGCTCCACGCGGTCGAGAAGCAGGAGTTCCCAGAAATAGGGAGCCGGCGCCAGATGTCCGTGAACCACGCTGAGTCACGATGAGGGGCCTGGCGTCCCGGGACGGCTGTGACAGGAGGGGGCAAGGGAGACGCAGCGGCAGAGACGCTGCAGTGAGCGCCTCCCTCAGTCCAGAGCCTGTGGCCTGTGGACGGAGCTTTGCCTGAGACCTGCCAGGAGCCCTTGACGTCAGTGCACAGCCTTCTGCCCGCACGGCCCACCGTGGGACAGCCCGAGTGACCCGAGTGACAGCACAGGCCGGGGGTGGGCCTTGACCTCCAGGGTCTGCTGCCTGGCACAGCTGAGGAGGGGCAGGAGGCCCCTCCCCTGGGAGCTTGGCCCTCACAGCACAGCGGGCGGCCTTGGCTCAAGCCATAGAGAAAAGTTCGCTGGAGCTCGTCAGTGGAAGGAGCCAGCCACAAGAATTGCTCAGATGAGGGTTTCTGTTCTGTTTTTAAAACAAGCTCCTAACATCTTTAAGCCGAGCCCCATCCAGGGGTCCCGTGTGCTGGTGCAGCCATTTCCAAGGAGGCTGGGCCAGGGCAGGCTGGGCATGCGTCCCTCCGAGTCACCCGGAGGCCAGGTGGCTGTGGCCACAAGCATCCTCGCTCCTCTTTTCGGGAAGTCCCCGGTTCTTCTGATCCTTGCGCGGCTGCCGGACTGTCCTTCTCGGGCTTTGCATGTTGTTTCCGTTGTCACGGAAACGGGCGTGCCTGGCAGACCTCCGCGGCTGTGGCTGCGCCTGCCCCAGGGCCGCGGGCTGCTCGTCTGCACGTGTTTACGGGGGTTTGTCCCTGCCTCCATTAATACTGTTTTTCTTTTCTCCCTCTCTGATAATCTCTCTAACCTTTCCTCACCTTCCGCTCGACAATAGCCGTGGAGGGTAAGCACATCGTGTCTGTGTGTCTGTCCAGCTCTGTGTCATGCCCAGCGCCCTGCATGTGACTGGACAGGACTCGGGCTGGGGCGGGCTCTTGGGCTTGGTGTGCCAGCAGCAGAGTGTGTAGTGCCGAGTGAGAGACGGGACCAGCTCCCCAACTGAACTGTCGTCCTTGTCCATCTCCTGCCCAGATGGGGACCCTGACTTCCGGCCTCCTTGGGCAGAGGCAGCCTGAGGGCTCAGAAGTGGGCGCCTGGCCCTGTGCCAGCAGATTCCGCAGGCACCGGACCGGGCACTGAATGCGGTCTCTGGAGCAGCATGGGCTGTCCTGTGGGCCCAGGGTGGCCAGTTTACTGTGTAACTGCCACTGAAGATTTTCCAGGGGCCCCTGTGGAACTCAGTGCCCAGTTTATCTGGGTAACATCTGGCGATGTCCCTGTGCCCGGGCACTGGGTGGCCATTTTACACGTGTCCCTTCTTCTGAGCCCACGGAGGCCGCTCCCAGGAAGTGCAGCGCTGGGTGTGGTGGTGCACAAGTCTTGCCCAGAGCAGGGAGTGAGACCCGGGTGTACCCAGGGAGGGCCTGCTGGTCCCGCGTCCCAGGCCTGCAGGGGGCAGCTCTCCGCGGGAGGTCGTGCTCACTGCAGGGTCCTGAGCAGGTGGAGACTGTCCGTCCAATGCAGGCCGCTCGGCCAAGCCAGCCTCTTTGCGGTCTTGGGGGTGTAAGATCTGATCTTCCTCTGGGGAAATGATTGCGGGGGGACCTCAAATCACTTCTCCAAGAGAATCGGGCTCTTTAGTGTAATGTGTGTGATTCCACCTCATTTCCTTTAACTGAGCTCAAAGTTAGAAAGATGATGGCCTCATGTCTGTGTCACTCGGATGAGTTACTCACTGTCATCCTCAGAGTGAACTCCACCCCATGCCAACCAGAAAATCAGTGCTGCAATCTGCTTTGATCTCTTTTAAAGACCCTCCCTAAGGAGCTTGGTGTATGCCGCCACCTCCTGGACGATAGAAGGATGACCAGCTTTTGTGTTGGCAGCTTCAGCCCCAGGAGATCAGCCCCCCGCCCACTGCCAACCTGGACCGCTCCAACGACAGGGTGTACGAGAACGTCACGGGCCTGGTGAAGGCCGTCATCGAGATGTCCAGCAAGATCCAGCCAGCCCCGCCAGAAGAGTACGTGCCTATGGTGAAGGTAGGCCCGCCCATGTGTCCCAGCAGAGCTGCGTCCTGACCGACCGCCGGAGGCTGCGGCCCCTCGTGGGCTGTGTTGCATCACAGCTGCCATCACACGAGTTGTCGCTGCTGTCTGAGCCTCGGGGGAGTCTGCAGGGGGTCTGGAGCCCTGGAGGGGGTCACTGTCACTGGGCACTCCTGTGATCTTGAGGGAATAAAGCAAGAGACGAGAGCACTCAGCATGGATACGCATGCGTCCAGCGCAGGCCAGCCGGTCCAGTGTGGGCTGGAGGGGGTTCAGGGAGCACGCTGAGGGGAGGGTGCCCTGGGGGGGTTCAGGGAGCACGCTGAGGGGAGGGTGCCCTGGCAGGGGCACAGTGGGGGGGGGCACACATGACCAGGGATACGGCCCTGCCCTGTCCTCCCAGACCCTTTCTCAGTGGGCATCTCCTGACCCGTTTTGTTCCCATTCCCGAGGGCGTTGAGCCCTGTGTCAGCCCTCTGAGCCTGCGGGGCAAACTGCCTCCTGGTGAGAAGGCGGGGCTCAGCCCAGGGAAAGGAGGGACAGGAAGGAGGGCAGTGTGGGTGCAGCGCTGTGACCCGCTGTGTGCTCCTGCCCAATAGGAGGTCGGCCTGGCCCTGCGGACACTGTTGGCCACTGTGGATGAGACCATCCCCGGCCTGCCAGCCAGCACTCACCGCGAGGTAGGCATGGCCCCTGCTCTGGGACTGTGGGTGGGGCCCCGGGGCGGGTCCATGCTGAAGCAGTTTAAATGACGCCCACGGTGGCTCTTCTGTGTGCAGTGACCGATCCCAAGGCCTCTAAGGGCAGAGAAGAGTGTCTTTTTCCCAGAGGCACCTGAGAAGTACATAAAAGTCCCCTGGAAGGTTCCCTGGAAGCCGCTCTCCTGACCGCCTTCTTGTCCTTCCAGATCGAGATGGCGCAGAAGCTGCTGAACTCCGACCTGGGCGAGCTCATCAACAAGATGAAGCTGGCCCAGCAGTACGTCCTGACCAGCCTGCAGCAGGAGTACAAGAAGCAGATGCTGACGGCTGCTCACGCCCTGGCCGTGGACGCCAAGAACCTGCTGGACGTCATCGACCAGGCCAGGCTGAAGATGCTGGGGCAGCCGAGACCGCACTGAGCCGGCCCTGTGCTCTCAGACGTCTGTCCGCCCCCAGCAGCAGGGCCGGCCTCGGCCCAGCACTGACCGCACCAGCGCCTCGACTGACAGCAGGCTGATCATCTCTCCTAAAGTTTAACCACATTTTGATTTGGGTTTATTTTTTTGTTTTGGTTTTCGAATCATGGTGTTCAGAAAAGTCTGGGATCCAAAATGTGGCATTTTTCTGAGAATGAAACTGAGAAGTTTTTAGGGATCATGAAGAGACTGTGGGGTCCGTCTCCATGGGAGCAGCCGAACTCGCCGGGAAGTGAGAGGGTGGGGGAGACGCCTGGAGTCCGGGCCGAGCTCTCCCGGCCCCGCGTGGTGCCGGCGGCCCGCTGTCGCTGGCACACCCGTGGGCGCAGTGTGCCGCGCCACTCACAGAGGGGGGCCCGGACGCTCTGTCGTGAGGTCCTTTCAGAACCACAGCCCTCCCGTCTTCCTGCTTTTCCTTCACGTGTCGGGGAGGCCTCTGTGGGAAGCTGGCTATGGAACACACGAAAACTGCCTTCACGGAATAACGGGCCGGCTTTTGCAGCAGAGTTCTCGGGGAGCAGAGATGCTTTGTGCCAGGGCACCCCAACCTGCATTGAGAAGAGGTTCTGCAAGCACCCTGGTCCCACTTTTCTGTAGTTTATGAAAAAGATAAAAGCCATGTCGACTGTTCTGCAGCCGCTGGGGCCGACTCACCTGACTGTCTGTCTTCCCAGCGGAGGGTCAGCGAGCCGAGACGGCTCTCTGCGGCCCAGGCCCCGCCGTCCCGTCCAGTGCTTTTGAGAGCTACACCCTCCCTTTAGTGTGTTGGGGGATATAAATTATTCTCAGGAAGAATATAATGAACTGTACAGTTACTTTGACCTATTAAAAAGGTGTTACCAGTAAAGGTCTCGGGTTGATAGCCTTTCTTTCCTTTTCCTTCAAACCCCTTACGTTGTCCAGATGACCTGTCAGATCAGATACACCCAGGCGAGCTCAGTCATTACACCAGTTTCTTTCTCTCTGCCTTCTAGACAAGCGAGGCTGTCACCACAGAGCCACGGCCCCTCATTCTAAGTCGCCTGTTCACTCCGTCTTATTAAACACAGAAATCGAGGGAGGCGCAGTGTCACCCATGAAGGGCGCCCCCCGCGGCCCTGGTGTCGTCATGTCAGTCCAGCCTCGGGGACGCCCTCCTCCGTGGACACTGGTGAGGGATCTGACAGCACCGGTCCCCAGACCCGCCTGCCGGTGGGGAGCACGTGGAGCTGGGGCTCCCCGGTGGGGCCTGGAGGGCACGGCCCCGCGGAGCCGGCTCTTCCTGAGTGACACCCGTTCCTGCTGGGGACATGCGACGCTGACTTCATGTGGACAAAGGGGGGCCACCTCTGAGTCTCTTCTCCGGCCCTGCTCGGTCTCCAAGTCCATTTCGTCTTCACAGGGGCAACAGGAGGTTGTGAGAGCAGCTGGTCCGCAGTGGCGCCTCCCTGTGCACGGCAGGGGGCCTAGCGGCGCCGGGCCTCCGCTCACCGGAGCCAGGTGTCCTCCCTCCCAGGACAGCCACCCTCGGGACTCATCCCCGTCCTGGTGGGCAGTCACCGCTGGGACGAGAGCCCTTGCAGAGAGCTGAGCGCGGCATGATGGTCACTGAGCTCTGGCTGCCGTGTGTCTGGGACCACCCCATTTTTCGGGATACACTGGCCAAAACCCAGCTCAGCTTCCGCACTCTCTTCCGTATGGGGTGGGCGCGAATCAGCCTCATCTTATCCCATCTTAGCAAAGGCTTCGTGCCGGCCACCCCACGGCAGAAAGCAAATGCCAGGTGTGAGCTGCAGAGCCGTGGTTTTCCAGCAATCGCTCAAAAACCGTAAGATTTCTCTAAATCCACAAGAAAATCCAGTCGTGATGTGTCATGAAACGAGTGGGATTATTTGATTTTACACTTGATTCACATTTAGTCTGGAAAGCCCAAGGCTCACAGCGGCGCTAATGGTCGCACACGTTCACCAAGGAGACCTGGCACACGTCCCCTCGCCGTGCCCTTGCTGCTCAGGCCCCGCCCCTCACGACCCCAGCCTGGGGGGGCGCGGCTGTCCTGCTCGGACAGCGTCACGTGACGGAGACACGCGTCCCCTTCGGCCTCTGCAGTGCCGTGCGCACTGCCGTCAGCGGTCTGTCTCAGAGATGCATCCACTCCTCACTCCGGCTCCCAGTGGACCCCACGGCACCCCTGGAAGTGTGTGTGAGCATTTGAACCTGCAGTGGCGTCGCCTTCCGCTCAGAAGCCTTCGTTTGGCGGGTGGGCCCACAGGTGGCTTGGCCTCGACGCTCCATAGATAACGAGCTGTGTGCAGCTCTAAGGGTTGGACTAAGTCTATGTGACGAAGTGATAAACGACAGCACTTCAACTGTGGAAACATTTCATTGGCAATGGTGTAGCTGAATTAATATTTTTACGTCCCCCAGACCTCTGTGAAGATGTCGGGTGACACAGAACGCTGGCTGTGGTCCCAGGAGGGCGTTTGCGCGCCGGGCCATCCAGGCAGCCGCAAAGTTGGGGTCCTCTCCTGTTCCCTTTTTCATGATACTTCCTTTTCGGCTTTTCCAGCTCATTTGCAGTGTTCAGCTAAAAATGTAAAGGCCTTCAAAGTGAGAGGAAACAAGCATTTATTCGAGATGAGCAAGCATAGCTATTTAGGAATCAGTGGTTCAGGCCGAGGCCCAAGTAAGGCTGGGGTGTTTCGGGGTCAGGAAAGGGGGACAGTGACATCCATGGCAGGAAGGCACCTCTGTTGGCACAGATAAGGTAACAGATGTTAATTCTACCAACGCGTCTGGTTCCCAGTCCACAGTCAGCACCTGCTTCCTTATTGTCCCCGCGGACAGCCCTGGGGTGCGGGGGTGCCCTCGGCCCTGTCCAGCTGTCGTTTGGTCCTGGGGTACCCCCAGGTGTGAGGCGCAGCACATCAAGGCAGCCCCTCTGGCCCCATTTGAAAGGCTCCGTGCTGCCCTGGTGGCTCTGGCACACACCCTGGTTGTGGGTTCGGTCCCTGGTGGACACATACCAGCAGGGGCACATGCGGAAGCAGCCGATCAAAGTGGCTCCCCCCTCTCTGACAGCAGTTTTGTATATATTTTAGAATCACTCGGTCAGTTTCCATTTCCTTAAAAGGCCCCTTGGGACCCGGGCTCGGTCCCCTCTGCGCTGTGCACAGCGGCCAGGAGGGGGTGCCTGTCACGACCGACCAGTGTGCTGGGGCTGGGACCCAGCCTCTTCCTGTCGCTCTGCTAACACCCCAGTTGCCTGTGCCAGTCACACAGGGGCTGCGAAGCATGGTGTCCCCACAGGCGGGACGGGGCCCTCTCCTGGAGCCCACTCCGCTCTGCTTTTCCAGGAACGACAGAGCGACTCTTCTCGACACTCACGTGAGGTCAGAAGCAGTGTCTGCACTTCCTTCTGGGCCGGTGGTGACTGCACCGCACCTCGGAGTGTCCCCGTCTGACTGCCCTCCTCAGGGTGCGGCCTGGGGACAGGGGGCCCTGAAACTGCACCTCGGCGAGTGCTCGGCCCCCACTGTGCCCACTGCTGCGCTAGCCCCACGCAGGACGGAGACCTGTGGCCCTCAGTACTGACCGTAGCAGCCCGGGAGCTTCCATCCAAGTGCTGTGCAAGGTGTGGAGACCGGGGGCAGCCGGAGGGGTGAGGGGCCACGGTCAGGGGCCCGAGAGGCAGGAGGCGTTGAGGGAGAGGATGGCGAGGAAACAGCACCAGGCTCGGCCGTGGGCTGGGAAGGGCTTCGAGTGGGAAACCGGTGATCACCTCCAGGCCTCGCACCCCAGGTCCGCGCCCCCGCCCGCTCACACTGACAGTCCCCACCACTGCACCTTCTCACCTGGAAAAGCTTCCGCTGGCCTCTCCGAAAGACGGGCTTCTTTTTCGTGTGACCTCATCAAAACACCATTAGCACAGCTGGGAAAACGAGTGGTTATTCCTCGATATCAGATATCCAGTCAGAATTCAGATCCGCCTAGTAGTCTCCCAATTTTTTGTCTAGTTAAAAAAATCAAATCCAGCCCAACTGGTGTGTCTCTGGTTGAGCATCGACCCAGGCACCACGAGGTCACGGGTTCGATTCCCGGTCAGGGCACATGCCCAGGTTGTGGACTGATCCCCAGAGGAGAGAATGCAGGAGGCGGCCAGTCGATGTTCTCGCATCGATCTTTCTATCTCTCCCTCTTCCTTTCTCTCTCTCTAAAATCAATAAAGAAAAAATTTTTTTATTTAAATCAAATCCAAATAAAGGGTACCCATATGGTCTTTTTTTAAAAAAATTTTTTTATATAGTGTTTTTTTCTTTTTTTAAAATCTTACTCGAGGATATTTTTACATTTATCTTCAGACAGTGGGAGGGCGGGGGGAGGGAGGGAGAGAGAGCGAGAGAGAGAGAGGAAGACTGGGGCCAGGGACAGACTGCAACAAGGTATGTGCCCTTGGCCGGAATCGAACCCGGGACTCTTTGGTCCGCAAGCCAACGCTCTAACTGCTGAGCCAAACCGGCCAGGGCTCCATATAGTGTCTTAATTGATTTATTTTTAAAAGTATTTTTATTGATTTTCAGAGAGAGAGAAAGATTGAGAGAGATACAAACATTGATGAGAAACATCAGTCAGCTGCCTCCTACATGCCCCCAACTGGGGATGGAGCCACAACCTGGTCATGTGCCCCGAATGGGAATCGAACCAGGACCTCTCAGTCCCTGGGACGGCACTCAATCCACTGAGCCACGCCAGCTGGGCTGATGTCTTAATTTAATGAAATCCAAGGTTTCATTATTTTCGTCATGGTAGTATTGTTTTATTTAAGAAACCTGTCCTGCCCCACCAGTGTGTCCCCCACCACCACCACCATCACCACCACCACCAACAACAACAAAACAAACCTATTAAAATTGCACTAAATCTGTAGGTCAGTCTGGGGACAGGTCACGTCTGTGCAGCAGGGAGTCCCGGTGTGGGAGCAGGCTGCCCCCCCACTATGCAGGCCTCATTCACTCCGTCCGGTGTACGGATTTCTGTGCAGAGGGTCGGAGTGTCTCGGATAAGACGCATTCCTAGATTTTTGATGTTTCATTTTGTTTCAATTTCATTTTTAATTTTGTCACTGATATATAGAATTATGCTTAATTTTTAAATATTGACCGTACAGCCGAAAACCTTATTAAATGACAGGTGCATCAGTAGATTATTTCACAGACGCACCCTGGGATGGTAAGAACACGGTGTAAAGGAGCTGCTGAGAGCCGGCCCTCGAGGCTGGCTTACCGGGTCCTCCACTTGACTCCTTCGATCGATAGCATGGCGTGTTTAATCCATGGTTTCGCCCAACGTGAAATTACCTTTCTTTCACTGAATGTATTGGGGTGACATTGGTTATTTTCATAAGCTTCGCACTGCATCGTGTGTTCACCACCCCATCAAGTCTCCTTCCGTCACCATTTATCCCCCTGTCCCGGTCTACCTCCCCCCAGCCTCTTAAAGTAGCTTTTATGTATCTCTTGACTCCAGGAAATGCTCCAAGCTGCACCCACCACCTCCACGTTCATCCCAGACCTTTGGAGAATACGCACGAGTTTGTAGCTCCTGACTTAGCAAGTCTCGGTGGCCCCGGGGGCACGCTGCTGTCTACGTCAGCCATCCCCGCGGGTCTGCACGTCTGTGTACAGGACTGCGGCTGGCACGTCCCTCGTGGCCAGCGATGTTCGTGTGCCCTTGGCCCTGGGGCCTTTGGTGGAAGTCTCTCCGGGCCTTTCGGCCATGTTTTACGTGGTTTGCTTTTCTCCTGTTGAGTCTGAGTTCTTCCCATACTCTGCATATTGTCCTTTGTCAGACTGTGGCGTGCAGATGTCCT